GAGGAGGTCCGCCAACCTAGAAGAGAACACACGCTTACCGTATATAGCTAAATATGTTGATCTGCCAGTTTATGCTAGCACAGGTTCTACTTGTAATGCTGGACAAGGAAATCTGAAGATTTTCCAGCATCTCTAGTTTTATCTCTAGTGTCTCTGGTATAAAAATCACTGGATGCTTTCCAGGTTGAATTGACTGAAGGTTTAACATGGTGGTGCATGGAAACTGGTTAAAACATCAGGATGCAGGTTAATTGTGGCAGTAATTAGTGGTGATTGTCAAGGATGTCTTTCTATAGTGGGCTGTGTAGTTGGCATGAGTGACTGACCAGTGTGCAGTTCCAGTGCAAAGTTTATGCTTTCAAAACACCATCCCATTATAAATGAGGGGCATGAACAATTTTGTCAGTGTTGTCAAAGGGGTAGTCTTCAGATGCTTGGTCTGAAGAATTATACCTCCTTTAGCTGTTGCATTTGGACCTTTGGTTGAACCTGACTGTTGGGAATTAAGATTACACGCAACTCATAGCACACATAGAGAAAGCCATGTTGAGGCTAAATCATCAGTTGGGTGTCTGTCTACAGCAGGGGTCAGCAGTGTTTTTGGGTAGAGTGCCAAAAACACCCACAGCCTCAGCTTGTAAGATGCTGGTGTGCCAGGGGTGAGGCTGCGAGGGGGACCAATTCTTGTTGTGGCAGCAAAGCCCCAGCCCCTTCCTCACCATCTGCCTTGAGGTGCTCATGCCAAGCAAAATGCCTTTGCGTGCCACACTCTGGCACCTGTTCCAGGGGTTGCCGACCCCTGATCTGTAGTAAGAGTTGTATGATGGAAAAAATTGCTTCAGTAATATTGTCTGTAGCTCAGAATTGTGATGCTCCTTGTTTTATGGCTAATTATGCAACATACTTAAAAACTGCCAGTCTTTCAATCTTTTTTGTACTCAGTAGTTGGTGGTTGGTTTTGTTGCTCTAGGGGTATAGAAGTCTTAATCCTAGTCTGCTTCCCTTAGTCCTTTTGCTGAAGCCGCTTAGATCCTGTTCATTTGAACAATCATAGTATGGGAGGTAGCAGTTTTTTAAGGGGAGCCAAGAAAATGAAGGGGGAAGAATAGGGCGGTCTGTTTTAAAGCAGGTAGCAAGAGTTCAGAACATAAAGATCAGCACTCCTGACTTGCTACTAGAATAGTAATTATCTACCATGCTTCATTATTTACACTTCATGTTCTAGTGAAGCAGGCTAAAACACCCAAAGCTTGGGTTCTGCTCTGGTAGGTGGATCTAAAATGAAGGATGTCTTCAGCATCTAATAAACTTCACTGAGTTGAAAGCAATTTTCTTATTTTCTGTTACAGTTGGAAATGGAGGATGAAGATACAATTGATGTGTTCCAGCAGCAGACAGGAGGAGTTTACTAAAAAGAGAACCTGCTTCTTTCCTCTCCAGAACTGTGCTCCCACAGATGACACATTCACAATTAGAAAACGAGACTTGGTTCAGCCACATCCTGACTACTGCAGTATAGTTTCTCTCTTTTTCTCTTTGATTTTTTTCCCCCCCTATTTCTTCTATTGTACATAAAGTAACTGGTGTATGTGCACAGACATAATGCATTTTTTTTTTTTTTAACTAAATGCCCAATAGTATGTTTTGATCAACATGGAATGGAGATGGGGTGGGAAAAACAAACTGGGTCTGTGAAAATGCCCCTTTTCTCCATTAGTGGCATGCTCCTTCAACTTTTATCTTTATATTCCAGTAAGTTATTTTGCTCTCACTGTTTAAAAACAAAACCTTGCATACCTTGTTTGATTGGATAATTTCAATGTTTTTTCTTTTATCATTGTAAAACCAAGGACGATTTTATAACTTTTTTGTACGTAGCTGTTACACGTAGAGCAATCTGTCTAAGTAGGGGTAAATTACTCTTAAAAGGAAAAAAAAAAAGATCCTAGATAGTTTTCCCTTCAAGTAAAGCGTCTTGTTGTTTAAATAAACTTCTTGTTTAAAATAATCAGTTTTTTCTTTTATGCTTCTATACAGTGGTAATACTTGGCACTTGCGGCTTTTTATTTCCACAGCACTGTACAAACTTTAGTCCTCAAACCATCTGTGGTAAGTATGATCCTCACTTTATGGGTGGGGAAACAAAGATGAAGGGCTTATTCAAGGTAATATAAAGAGTCAGTAGCTCGTCTGGAAGTAGAAGCCAGGAAACCCTTGCTCTGGGCTTTGTGTGCATTATACTACACCATTTGGCCGTCGTGAAGGGAAAATAATTACTGTTGTCCAGTTAATTGGAGAAAGAGGGAGATGAACTGTTGTACCAAAAGAAACAATTTCCAGAAGCTAGGTGAACTGCAACAGACTGAAGCATTACAGTATCTCGTGGGCTTCAGTTCAGTTTTTTTGCGTAGGAACTTGGGATGCATTTATAGAAATATTGGCGTTTCAGTTGTAATAGTTTTTTTTGATATTTTTTGATTTGCTGACTTTTTTTTCTTTTGGGGGGTGGGGGTTGAGAGAAAAAACAAATCATTGAGCATTCAGCTTCTAAGTAGGGTGCTCACAAAACATGGAAAGTAGAATAAGCAAGTTGAGTGCTCTGGGCATATTCACTTTTATACTGTTTGGATTCCAAACTCCTGTTCCCCTGTGCTTTCTTTCCTGGGTGAAAAGGGAAGAGCTTATATCTCATTGACTCATTGGAGGCAACCTGAAATAGAGGCTTCTTGCAGCTATACACAATTTTGCCTCTTGTGCTTGTCTTGTCAAGACAACATAAAATCTGAGGGTAGTGGTAGAGCAGAGTTGAAACCCAAGACGTTTGAGAGAGACTATTGAACTACTTTCACAAACTACTTACTACTTCCTTGCTTCACTGTACCTGGAAAATGATTTCTTTGTCACTGTTCTAGTTCTTCAGGAAGATCTAATGGCTCTGTGTTACTCAAGTAATTTATATTGGATTCCTAATGCATAAAAGATAAAATAGATAAAGCCAGAATCCTTGGTGACAGCTTTTACAACTTCACTGATGACCCTGAGAGTTGATCATTGCGTGTGTGTGTTTGTTTGTTTGTTTCCCTATGCCTGATGTTGGAACAAGATGATTTTACTACCTGGTTTTGTATGTGACAATGGTGTGTGTGTTCCTATGGTTTAGAAAAAAGATGAAGGGATGATGTTTTTCCCATCCTGTGATAGCATTATTGCTTACTTCTAGAGAACTATGAGTGTTAGGAAAGGATAAACTACTGGATGTGCCTTTGTGTGGTAACGCTTGAATTGGGTATGTGTAGAGGATTAATGTCCTGCTTTCTGGTTAATTTTAAGGAATCAATAACCATAGTAAGGAAATATTTTTCTTCCTCAGTTTACACCTATTTTGGACTGCCGCTCCAAACTATACAATCCTGCACATTTGGAATGGCTTCTTGCTGTAGATAAATATTTGTATCAAGAGGTACATGGAAGCCTGGAGAAATAGTTCTTTATGAGGTAGAATAGTTCATTACCTTTAATCATTTTTCAGTTTTAATTTCCTACCTCAATTCCCATGTGGGTTTCCTGAAAGTGTTCCTTTTTGGCTTTAAAAGCTCTATTCTTATCTGGCCAGAGTGGTGTTTTTTTTCTGCATCCCCCCCCCCACCCCCTCGCTTTTCCCTAGACTTCTGAAAACC